ACATTACCCATTAATGTTGACCACATTACCCATTTATGTTGACTACATTAGCCAACATACAACATTAAATTAACTTTTGTTCACACAGACATTATGATTTCCATCACATTTCATTGTATATATAAAATTTCAACACAACACAGACATGCATCAGAAGAGTGTCTGGGCAGACTGACATATATAGGCAGAGAGAGCACTATAACAACAGCAGGATATCAACATTTAAACATCCCAATAACAACATTTAAACATCCCAATAACAACATTTAAACATCCCAATAACAACATTTAAACATCCCAATATCAACATTTAAACATCCCAATAACAACATTTAAACATCCCAATAACAACATTTAAATATCCCAATAACAACATTTAAATATCCCAATAACAACATTTAAACATCCCAATATCAACATATAAACATCCCAATAACAACATTTAAACATCCCAATAACAATATTTAAACATCCCAATAACAACATTTAAACATCCCAATAACAATATTTACATGCACTAATTTGCCTGATCAAGTTCCCTTGCTTATATTTCTTAACACGTTGACTACGAAGTTGTACATATGCGTACCACGAAATGTATTTCTCCAGGACGTAGTGGTACATAATTCTGGTTGCCGAAAATTGGCCAAATCCGAGAACAAAAAAGGCAAAAAAAAACAGGTAACTTGATATATACTAATGGTAGTTTATTTGTAGGTTCCGCTATAAAAATTCCATTTATTTTCTTCTTGCAGTATTTAAAATTTAATTACGAAGTACCCCTATCATAAATTTTAGCCGGCCAACGCAATTGAGAAAAACTAAATCACGGAATTTGTCCGGAAAAAATGACCGTCTAGCAACCCTGTTTAAAAACAGTACAAAAAATGAAATAATAGTGCAAGATGAAGCAATTGTAGTCAACGTGTTAAGAAATGTAGTCTACATTTTTACATATGAAAAATAAAATTTACAGGCAGATTTTAAGTGCCATTCTTTCCACTTGAAACATAATGCATGTTATCAATACTTGCATATTAGTTACTTTCCTCCAATTAATCAAAAATCATGATAGTTTTTATTACTTCTGACTGCTGATTTATTGTCATAAAATAAGCCAATGTATGTTTATCTTCTTCATGCTATGAGCCATGCCTATGAACCTGATGTGTTCCTGACTTTGACGTGGCCCGTAACCAAAGTTATCTTCACAGCCAAAAATACTCTGAAGAGAACTAGTCATGAGAACTTGTGCTAGAAATAGGATGTTTCCAAGGGTTAGAAACTATAATAATGTAGTCATGTATAACCTGCACTACTTTACATTACTTTTTCTATACTTCTACTACTTATACATTACCATACTACTATATAATGAGGGATTTCCATGTGCAACATACTGCTTTTATTGTCTAAAAACACTAGACTTTTTCTATCAAGGACATTATTCCTGAAGACTTTGATTATAGATATAAAGATATATTAGGCCATCCAATACTATCTTATGATACCAAAATGTAAAATATAAGCATCATATGCAAGTACTATTATTTCCGCTAAACACTAATAAGATGCTCCAGTTAGGTCTGATGATATTATATAATATAATAATATAATATTATATTATTTCAACAGGATGTTTACTTAAATCTGATTATATTGCTAGGTTTGTGGCACTCGTACTTGTGTAGATGGCCAAGATGTACAGCAAGAGCCCCAAAGCTGGAGGCGATCGTGTTCACCTCAACCTGCTTGGGTGCAGCGCAGCACAACTTCCCCAGGTCATCCTCAGGGCTGTGGGTGCCTTCACCCTCTGGGGGCCCAGACCCTTCACTTAATTTGCTCCCAGAGGTATTCTCATCACAGGGAGGAGCATCCAGTAGCACATCACATCGTATCAGCGCCAGAGACACTGGCTGTACACAGGTATACGACTGTACAACTGTTCTCATGTACACAACTTCTCTAAAATGCCCCAATTTGTTTGCTGTTTACAAATTCGTTGCATGATACTTGATTTTGAAAATTATGCACTAGCATTTGTGTTGGCATTTGTTCTAAAGTACAGTATGGTCCCATAGTGCCATACTATACAATTGTTCTAATACACAATAAAGTACATACACAATTGTTCATAAATACACAATTGTTCTAAAGTACAGTATGGGACTAAAGTGCCATACTGTATAAGTGTTTAAAAGTACATACACAATTGTTCTAATACACAATTGTTCATAAATACACAATTGTTCTAAAGTACAGTATGGGACTTCCCTAAAGTGCCCCAAAAGATTTGTTGTTCAAAAATTCGTTGCATGTTATTTAGTTTGAAAAATTATGGAATATCATTTGTGTTGGCATTTTTTTGTTCTGAATGCAAGACATTGTTTACCCTGTACTAAATAGTGCATGTCAGCTCAGGCAGCACAACACAGCAGGGTATATGCACTTTGTTTAAATTAAAATCTCTATGTCGCTCAATTTAAACTTGATACAATTACTATGCCATAATCTGTCATTCAGAATAAGCCTTTTCATCAAGAAAAATATATATGATTAAATTTTTTATTTGAACTTTGGATGTGCTAATACAATTAGTGTTTTGACCTCTTAATGGTTTGTATTTCCATTACAGTTAGACACAAATTTTGACACGTGTCATCTGAAAGTTGCACATTCCCAGACATTTTCAGACAAGAACAGAGCAGACAAAATTATAGGGGCAAATCAGAGCTGTTCAGAAAAAGCACATATAAGATTAAAAAGCCACTGTGACATTAAAAAATGAAATGAATAAACAAATAATACTGAACTTTAAAAAATAGGTATTCAAAGATAAAAATTTCATGCAAAAAAAATTTGCAGCCAGGAAACAAGAATAAGCAGAAGCAAACAAAAGTGTGTCAGAGGAGCTGGCAACTCACCTGACCAGGGGCCGTACGATCATAAGTAGTTGACAACTTTGTCAGCCAATCAATTACAAATTTACAAGCTAAATTGGCATATTACAGACAAAAAATTGGCTAATGCAAACCCATATTCTATGGTTTTCAAACCATAGAACACTTATTCTATGGAGTGAATTTTGATAGTATGGCCCCATAGAACCCAATAAAAACTCCTACACATAAAGCTTAGCTTTAACCACCACAAATGACAGCAAAATGATACTTTTGTGAAGCTTTAATAAGCAAAGAAATGAAGTTGTAATACAATAAGAGACCTCTTAATATCAGAGCCATGAGTGCTATGTTCTCAGCCAAGGAGCATGTCGCCAGACAACTATGGTTTGAGTGCCTTTTTTGGCATAATGATTTGTATTGACTTATCTGGTTAGAGCAACCTACATATTATCTATGTTATACATGACAATCTGGTTAGAGCAACCTATATATTATCTATGTTATACATGACAATGAATGAATTAGTCAGCAGAGCCTCCTGGTACATATAGAGCTTCCAAGTTACTGGCCTGCAACTAGTGGCCCTTGTATGCTATGTTCCATACTGTCCTAGCCTAACCTGTGCTATCTTAAACTATACAAAACAGATCCTATCCTATTTCATCCAATCCTGTTGCATCCTTCCCAATCTTATCCTAACCTCTCCTAAAAATAATATCCTAGGTAAGCCTGTCTGTCCCACTAGGCCTGCTGTTATGCCACTCAAGCTTCATGTCTTTAGTGCTAGCCCATCAGATGAGACCAAGTAACTAACTACTAGTAACTACTACTAAGTAACTAGTAACAAGCACATTATTACACAAGTCCTATCTGTATCAAACATGTATTGTAACATAATTGTCAATAATGCATACAACTGCAACACAAAACTCATGACCTATTCATGACTAATACATTTACCTACACAGAAATGCCTATAGTATAGAACTGTAAAGTAATACATGTATAAGAAACATGTGCTACAAGCATCCTACTTGTGTATCCTGGCAGACACAGGACCTACACAGAAATGCCTATAGTATAGAACTGTAAAGTAATACATGTATAAGAAACATGTGCTCCAAGCATCGTACTTGTGTATCCTGGCAGACACGGGGCCCAAGTGGCCAAAGCCGGCAGCTATGGTGTTGATCTCGACCTGCTGGTTCATGACATAGGGCGGCACGAGGCAGAGGGCACAGCAGCCCGGCCTGCACTCGTTCAGCATGACATCTGAGCGCAGCAGCGCCAGGCTCACAGGCTGCGAGTTAACTTCTTAAGTTAAAATGTAAGGTAACCTCTTAATAAGTTAAACTGTGAGTTAACGTCTTAATAAGTTAAAATGTAAGGTAACCTCTTGAGTTAAAATGTGAGTTAATCTCCTAATAAGTTAAACTGTGAGTTAACCTCTTTAAGTTAAACTGTGAGTTAACCTCTTAAGTTAAAATGTGAGTTAACCTCTTAAGTTAAAATGTAAGGTAACCTCTTAATAAGTTAAACTGTGAGTTAACCTCTTAATAAGTTAAACTGTACGGTAACCTCTTAATATGTTAAACTGTGAGTCAACCTCTTAATAAGTTAAACTGTGAGTTAACCTCTTAATAAGTTAAACTGTGAGCTAACCTCTTAAGTTAAAATGTAAAGTAACCTCTTAATAAGCTTGACACTTCTTGACCAGATGCTTGCCAAGTACAAAATAGTCAAGACTATAATTAAAGAAATTGTCACTACATATTCCATCTTCCAGCAATAAATTGTGAATTATCCAGGAGACTAGTGACTACATAATAATCTAGTAATTCACTATTAGCAGCCCGTGGCACTAGAAACCGTCACCATAACATCTCACTAATATCAGGGAGCAACACTAACACCAATATTTTACCTAATATTAAGCAGTGGCTTGGCCCAGTGACCATCCAATACAGAACCAGAAATAGTATTGGTTCAAGAAGCAAAATTGACATCTTCATCAGTAAATAAATTTGTTGGAACAAGAAAATAAAATATAACTCAGAACTCACTGCAGTGAGTGACAGAGAGCGCATTTTCTTGTCGACAAAAACTTGAGGTCACGGACGGACAGACAGACAGACGGACATGGCGAGCACAATAGTGAATTTTTTCCATAAATGAGAAAATGCGCTACAAATTGGATTGAGTTGCTGCAACACAGGCAAGTAAAAAGTGAAGTTTTTAGATGATTTCTTTAGGAATTTCTATTACCTAGTGATTAAATGAGTTTTATGAACTAATAGACAGTTTAATGAGAGCCAAACCCTCAGTTTAATGAAGCAAAACTTGATTCTAATGAGCCAATACAATACAAGAGAGTTCAATGAAGCAAAATAGCACTAAATGATCCACATCTTTGGGTCTCTTTATATCTAAAAAAATTTGTGATGTCTTCAAGCAATCGTGAATGTGATTGTTAGAATGATTTTAGAAGCAATAGAACTAATACACTGTTAGAAAAATTACTGTTAACGGTATTACCGGCGTTTAAGTGGCCGGACGGCACGTGAGAAGAAACACCGTGTCGCCGTTTTTATTCTAATTTAACATCAGAAATCTGTAAAACATATGATAAAAACGGCAAAATAGTTTATTTTCATGGGGCGACTGGCTACTAGAATGCCAGTGGGACCGTTTTTTCCTAACAGTGTAGTGGGTTTGGCAGGGGGAGTTTAGTAGGGAGATATAGCCAGGGGGAGTTTAGTAGGGAGATATAGCCAGGGGGAGTTTGGTGGGGAGATATAGGCAGAGGGAGTTTGGTGGGGAGATATAGCCAGGGGGAGTTTAGTAGGGAGATATAGCCAGGGGAAGTTTAGTGGGGAGATATAGCCAGGGGGAGTTTAGTAGGGAGATATAGCCAGGGGGAGTTTGGTGGGGAGATATAGGCAGGGGGAGTTTAGTAGGGAGATATAGCCAGGGG